GCTAATCCCACCAATCATATTCGAGAAATCAGCTGCTGCGTGTACTCAAGCGAATCCCAAACACGGTAAAAAAAAATCTGAAAAACCAAGCCAAATATTTCCGGAAATTCTATTAAACTAATTCTTCACATTGTTATCCTTTAAAAATTAAATTTATGATTTATTTGAAGTCCTCAATGATGTAAAATGAATCAAGCGGATAACCATATCTTGAAGCCCAACAAAATTTTGAAGGCAACATATCAAATTTTAATTTTGTTCAGAAATTTAATTTCAAATTTTTAATTTATGTATTAGAAATATATTATTTCAGGCTCCGTAATTTTCACGGAAGGGAGTGAAAAACTCACTTGAAAAATTTTTCATGTCAGTTCTACCTTCACTGCTCTAATTTTGATGCTTATTTAGTCACTTCTAGTGCAATGATTCGAACAGTTTTCGGATGTTATGGGGCCACTATTAATGGTAAGCTAAATCTAACTGCTGCTGGTGCTGTTATTGTTTTTGCTGCTGTTGGTGTTGCCGCTCCTATTGATGCTGGTGCTGTTGTTACTGCTCCTGCTGCTGCTTTTGCTGTTGCTGTTGCTCTTGCTGATGTTGTTTCTGGTGCTGCTGCTGTTTCTGTTGTTGGTGTTCCTGGTGTTGTTGTTGTTGTTGTTCTTGGTGTTGCTGCTGCTTGTGCTGATGTTGCTGTTGCTGTTGTTACTGTTGTTGTTGTTGTTGTTGCCGTTGGTGTTGCTGGTGCAGTATAATTGAGCGGGCGAGGGCCGTTATGTTGCCCACGCCGAAGCCCTGAGCGCCCATGCGGTGCACCAGCTCCAGGAAGAACGTGTTGCGGCCGAAGATGGGACATATTCTCCTTTGCGATTGCTATTATTTTGCTAAAGTTAATTATAAAACAGGCGATTGTTTACACAAGTGGCTTTGCGACTGTTATTGTTTTGTCGGGGTTTAAATTCCCTATACAGGTGTTTTTTGAAAGGCGACTTGAAAGTCCGATTTGGCGGTAAAGGGTTAATTATAGAACGAACGATTATTTATAAAACTTTTCTGGTTCCTTGGGAGCAACAGCCGACATACGCTCGTATTATATAGAGGGATCGCTTCACGAGCTGGTATTATATAGAGGGATCGCTTCACGAGCTGGTATTATACAGAGGGATCGCTTCACGAGCTCGTATTATATAGAGGGATCGCTTCACGAGCTCGTATTATATAGAGGGATCACTTCACGAGCTGGTATTATACAGAGATATCGCTTCACGAGCTATTTCAATAGAAACCGTAAGGCGTAAAATGTTTAGGGTTCTACCGTTCGATTAGCCACGTTATTAAATTACGATGCTGTTTCAAATCAATCAAATGTCGTTGAAAAGTTATTCACTTACGGACTTACGGTCATGATTTAGATTGTTTATTTTCATGGCCTGTGACATGAGACTGTCACTGAGTCATTTGAATGCTGCTGTGAGTGTGTTGTAGTTGTAGGAGGAGCTGTGCGCGCCTGTGGCGACTTTTGACGGATCTTGCATTGATTGACTCACTCTACTGACAGTGACAGACTGGCCTAGCTAGTACTCTAGTAGTAGTAGTTCTATTTATATGGCCCATATGAGTTTAATCATGATAGGGATACAACTACTGAACTACTTACTTTGGTAGGTATTCTAAATTGGTATTACTTTAGATTAAGTCATAGTGACAAACCAGAGATTTTTTAGAATCAGTTCATTTTTAATTTCCTCATTTATTCAAGATTTAAACCAAATTCTCATGTATGATAATGCTGGTATCCATGATACTTTTCTGGTCTACTTATAGGACTCAAAAATGAACTTGAGGGAGAGTCTAAAAAACTCTCTGCTTTGCCACTATGGATTAAGTGCATCCAAAAAAAGGGTGTTTTTTAATCATATGTTTCTTGGGGTGTAGATAGGTCATACTCATAGGAAGAACCTGAAATCCGTTTTTGGCGGTTGTCATCGGTGATCGGAAAACCGTTTTTTTCCAATTTTTCTATATATTTTCTATTGAAAACGATAATGCGGGTCCTGTGGGGAACCGGGGGTTTTAGGGGGGCCTGGGGGGGACACACCCGAGGCTCTAATTCGTCAAGCAAAAATCGGCAAAATGGGCAAAAAATTGGAAAAAATCGGGATTTTTTTTTTTTGAATGGAAATGATCTATATTGATCTGGGAATGACTGTAAACCTATGTAAAACCCAAAAATTGCGCTAGGTTAGGTTAGGTTACCCCCCCCCTCTAAAACACCCGGTTCCCCACAGGCCACAGGTCCCACATTGTCGTTTTCATTGAAAAAAAATATAAAAAATTGAAAAAAATCAGTTTTCTGATGCCAACTGCCAAAAAGGGCCACACTCAGGATGATGTATGTTTTCGGTGAATTTTCCTGCTCATTTTCACTTTTTTTAAGCTATTGCTGTGCACAGTTGGCGCAATATAATGAAAATTGATTATCTTCGCGCACGTGTTCGCGCAATCCCAGCCATCTTTATTTTAGAAGAAATTTTCTCCAAAGTCATATGGCAACACTGAACACCGTCTGTTTACATTTCGTATGTATAACAGCCGCAGTTTACGATTACCGTACGTTCCGACGTTCCGTATCCGACAAGGCAGACAACCGGAAGAGTCAGAAGTAACCCGGACATGTCTTACATTTTATTGTTGTCAGTTCGACTCGCGTAGTCAATATACTCGCGTATATTGTTGACTGAAATAGTAGAACTATTTTAGCTTTCTAAAGTACGGCACACGGCGCATTTTTTTACCAACGTAGTATGGCGCACTGCGCAGGTCGTTAAAATGACAAAATAAATTCCCGCGCACCTGGCACATCTTCCTGACCATGGAAAAAGGGATTTCATATTCCTTATCTACACCCCAAAAAAACATATAATTAAAAAAATATAATTTTTTTGGATGCACTTAATCTAAAGTATTACCTCTGAATTTCTATTAGATCTAAAAATCAGAAAATATCATCTTCTTGACTCATGAGCTGTAAGTGACAGCAGGTCCAGGAGCAGGTCCAGGATTGTTATGTTTTACTCATGAACAAACCTTGCTGCTCCAAAGTAATAAATTTGCAATAAATATGGAAACTTGCAATCCAATTGTGCATTTTGATATTAAGTTTATTCTAGGTAATTCATTTGATACAGTGGGTCGTGGGAAATACTGGAAATCTCATGGCTTTGAAAATGGCAGGAAAGCTCTGGTTTCAGCTTGAAAGGTGGATGCATATATTCTATGCTTGCACCACAATACTTTTAGTTAGCAATTAGATAGGATTAGGAAGTAATGCATCTAGCGGGAAAAATTTGCCTTAGATAGCTGTATTTCATGCCTGACTGACTGAGTCCATGTCTGCAATCACTCTGCATGTTATGATTCATACTGCAGAAATCTTGTTTCAATTACCAGAATATTGCAATTGTAGTGCCAAGATTAAATTTTTAAACCCAAAATGTGACCAGTATTATTGCAGGTTTTTCATAAGTACTACCCTAATTTAAAGATTTCCTTGAAAAAATCCATGTAAAGATGTATTTAGAGATAAATCTGTTTACTAATCACATATTCTAAGTCTGATATGTTGTCAAACATCTTCATATATTTGCACTTCAGTCACTTACCTTTGCTTGACAGTCAGTAACTCTCTCCTCTTTACTATAATATTTTATTTTTAAAATCTTGCATCAGTAAATTTAAAATTTTGCATTTTCAAATGTATTTTGTTTTATTTGGAATCTTGCTGATGGCTGAACTTGAAAATTTGGCCGAAGCCACCCGTGAATTGGACAAAAATATCCATGAATTTGGCTAATTTATTCTGTTCTTTTGGATCTTAACCACTTTTGTCAGTAAAAATAAGAAAAATGGTTATTCCCACCTGATATCTTCAAAATCCCTCATGAAACAATTGTTTTTGTTCACAATTTTATAAGAGTTTTACCTGATATTCCAGATCGGGCTGCTTACAGATATACCATTACAAGAAAATTTAAAATTCAGTCTTTCAGCACCATGCTACTACCAAAATTTTGTCACCCAAAATATTTGTATTGATTTTCTTACTGTTCAGTATTTACCAACTGTATGTGATTGGTAGCACAGTTTTGCATTAATAATTGTATCTTACAATTCTTGTGCTTTCAATATAAACCAGAAAATATTATTGATGCTTCAAAAATATTGGGTGGAAATTTTGGCATGATGAGAGATAAAAAAAAAATTGCAAACAGGCTACTAATGCCATTTAAAATAGGCATTGGCCTAATTCCACATGATTTTCATTTTGGTTACTGGCAGAGATGAAATTGTTCAAGAGCACTGGCACTTTTTTCTCATCTGTGGGTATATCTATCCTGTTAGCCTATCAATAACACCAGTTGCCCATGATACTTGCTTCTAATGTGAATGATCTATCTTATTAATATGATGAAGCAATAGCCTCTCATTAATTTTTTGCATAATATATATACTAGTAGTTGCATCAACCAAACATGTAGAATGTTTTCCCAGCCAATATCATAGTAAATTTTCAAGGGAGTAGAGAAACTCAGGTACAGTGGCAGTCAGGACTGAAATGTCACTGACAGTTGGTAGGTGTGGCAATATAAGTTAGTACCGGTATTTCTTTAAATTAAATTTATCCTGATAGTAGCATAAATGAGAATGTGACTTGGCCTCTTAATTAGAAAGTTATCATGTTTGTTATTGATTGATCTCTAGCTTGATTATGCGGTTTAATCTAGTGGGTAAACTCTAGTTAATTTCCTTGTGGGGCATCCTGCATTGCTCTGTTCTATTACATGCATTCAAATAGCAAGCCCATATCTCATTGGTTAATACATAAGCTTTTTTTATGTTACATAACATTATATGTGTGATTTGACTGTAGAATAAAGCTTGGATCTTCCAAAACTTTCAATAAAAGCTCCTCTCTACTTTGATTTAGGAGTGGTTGGATAGGGTTACATTTTTTGCCTGTCTAAATACAAACCTCATAGGCTACTATTAAACCAGAACAATATTCTTTTAATTTCTGTCTGTTTGCAGCCTCTAAATATTCACTTAATCATTAAAAAAATGATTTCAAGATCTCTATTATGTCTAAGAATTACACCCTCTATTTTGAGGTCATTTTCCACTAGTCAAACTCATCAAAACTTTAAAAGTGGAATAAGTTTGGACAAGTTGTACAGTTCCCCTCTTCAAAGCACTGATGTCAAACCAACAGTGAGTTCTTAAATATTAAGTGAGATGTTTTGTAGTCAGTTGCATATGCTGCAAGTGTTACATAGACTATAAACAATAATTATTGTTTTAACCCTTTAATGGGTAAGTTACCTTGCATTGTCACTTGAAATTGCTTCACAAAGAGACTCACCATGGCTTCTAGTTTGTGTTTGAGGCTTCCTTTTCATGCCTCTTTCAATTACTAATTATCTGACCATCCTTCCATCCATAGCATCACCATCTACCATACGCCATACTCTTTAAGCATTTTTGTAAAAGGCGGAAGTATCAATGTATTCAATTATTTAAGGTAACTTGATTGACTTGAAGTACTGTGTATTAAATTTTAAGCTTATTAATTTTTACATTGTCATAAACTAAGTTTTTATCAAAAAAATTTTGGGTATTGACTGCATTTAATGAATTCTTCAAGTGCAATTTAAACCTCTAATAGGCAAAATTTTTTAAATACATACAAATAAATATTTTGTATAATTTTTCTTACTTTATTTTACTGGATTCTGAAATTTTATGTTCTGGATATTTCAATGCTAGCCTGCAAAAGGGTTAAAAATTCAAAGAAATAACATATATTGAATTATACTCAGTTGAATTATTTTCATGCCCCCTTTAAGCTTAAGTATTATTATAATCCTGCAATCAAATGTTCTATATTTAATTCAGTTAATTTAATTCCACAGATTCCCAGCAATGAGACTGCATTTGGTGGCTACATCCCTCTAGGTGAGTGTGGGCCATGGAGCTGAAATTTCATCTGCCCGCTACTGGATTGCTGAAGATTCAAACTCAGAGAAACTGCAATAGTAAACTCAATCTTAAATAAAAAATATCAAAATATTTTCAATGGTTAAAAATTTTTAACATTCAGTTTTTTCCAAAAAAGTGCTTATTTTTTGAGTGTATGTATGACAAATTATTTGATTTAATTTGGTATTGTTTTAAATGGACACAAATCTAGTGTTTGAGTTGTTGGGAACTCAGTAGGTATTTCTTTGGATTCTTGTTCCCATATGCATGAAAGAGAATGATAAGAATTGTGAATGAATGACTAAACATCAACTGGTATTTTCTTATTATAACATGAATTTTATTTCCTCAACTGGTATTCCCTGACGTTTATTTTTAAAACTGAGTCAAAACTGATGTCTATGTATTTAAACAATAGAAAGATCAGGGCTGTGAACTATGATATAGTGAAAGCCATGAGCTTCTACAACAATAATAATGATATTAAGAATTAATTAATAAAAGACAGTAATGCTGTATGGCAAGAATTATCCTCTCAATTATAAAGTTATGTTGAACCCAAGTTTACCAAGGACATTTGTTGTTATGGCAGATGCATAAGATGGAAGCTTTGTAGTTTAAAATTATTGAAGTCACTAATTATTGATTATAAGTATTCTGATATTAATCTAGTTCTTCCAACAACTCCAAGAAAATTTGTGATTGAAAAAAAAACTTTGCTCAAGTTCATGACTTGTTTTAGTGACAATCCCTTATATGGCATGAAATCTATACTGCACTTTGTAGTATAAAATTGCAGTTTGAATGCAGTATTGATTATAGCTCAACAACAAATGTGTTGTACAGCAATCCATTAATGCTGTGAGTTTGCTTTCTTGGTAACTTGGAGCCACAGCAGCTTAGTGGCTGGGATATTTATGATTGATAACGTTGTTGATAATTTTTTTAATCTTGTAACTTTAGCTGAACATGAAAACAAATGCTTGTAAAAAAGCAGTTATGTCACATGTCACCATAAACATCCTTTTTGTAATTTCATTTCCTGCTTCTTGCTCCAAATTAACTCAGCCATGTTGAATTCCATATTGATAATAGCTGCCATAGTTTCATGTTAGGCCATACAAAACATTAATATATTCTAACTGAAAGACTCCCTGCTTTTTTAAACTGTAGCAATTTTGTTTCAGTTTGCCATCAAATATTTATGATTGCTAATGTGTCTGTAGAGGTTTTGACATCATCCACTTGTAGTAGTTATCCAACGTGATCTATTAATGTGTTGAAATTCTAGCCAGAAATTGAGCCAGTTTTTTTCTATATACAGATGAAGTGGATATCAGCTACATGCGCAGCAGTGGGCCGGGTGGTCAACACGTCAACAAAGTCAATACAAAAGTTGATGTCAGATTCCTGCTGAAGGATGCCAAATGGCTTCCTGAATCAATGAAGGAAAATATAATGAAAAAGGTATTAAGTGCTTCTGTATTTGAAACTTGCAGTTTAGTTTGGTTGTTCATAGGTAAAGATGATTGTTTTAAAATTGTTGATTTTTTAGGTCAGCTAGCATAAAGGAAAATGATTTTTCCATGTTTAAGATAGTCTATTTTAATCAATCTGAATATAATAGTAGAGTATTCCCTCAGTAATTTTAAAGTTATGTATATGCCATATTCAAACTGCTATGTACTTTAACTATAACTATCACTGTATGCAGCACAGCCACATGGTCACCCCAAGTGGCTACATTATCGTCCGCTCGGATAAGACTCGAACACAGCAACTTAATTTAGCAGACGCTCTTGACAAGCTGCGAGCTCAACTGTACTCAACTGTAGAGCGTCCTCCGGTCCGCCCCGACCACTACACAATTGAGGTCCACAGGAGAAGGTAAGCTCTCTTGTCTAGAGGAATAAAACTGGAAACTTGAACTTGCTTGTGGGAAACTTGGAACTTGCTTGTAGGAATTGTAGGAAACATGAACTTGCTTGTGGGAAACTTGAACTTTCTTGTAGGAAACTTGGACTTTCTTGTAGGAAACTTGGACTTGCTTGTAGGAAACTTGAACTTGCTTGTAAAAAACTTGAACCTGCTTGTAGGAAACTTGAACTTGCTTGTAGGAAACTTGTATTTGCTTGTAGGGAACTTGAACTTGCTTGTAGGAAACTTGAACTTGCTTGTAGGAAACTTGAACTTGCTTGTAGGAAACTTGAACTTGCTTGAAGGAACTCATGTTTGTGTGCTCTGCCTCAAAGTGACTGAAATTCATTTGAAGTTCAGTATCATTTTTGTTTTTTAAAGTTGATATATGTTTTTGCTTTACTATTGATTGCACTATTTACTGAAAGACTAGATATGATGCAAGCTCATGCATATAGTTTATAGTGCGTAGTTCAATGATAGAAATATTATATAATTTCTTTTTGGTTAACATTTTATTGCATTTCTGCATCTAATCAGTAATTCAATTGCTTCTATTGCGTATAATTGCTGCTTTCCCCCCCCACCAGCTGCCCCCTCCTTCCCCACCGCTCGCCCCTCCCTAACTCCCCCATTTATTTCCCCCCACCCCACAGGGCAGAGAAGGCTACCCGCGAGCGGCTGCGCGAGAAGAGAATAAAGAGCGACGTGAGGCAGTTCAGGGGCGCTCAGTGACCACCGCGCTGGCTTCGCGATTATCTTATAAATTGTATCATGAAACATGGCGATGGATATTTTGGAATAGAATAGAAGTGTCGGCCTACGTCACAGAACCCTTGGGCTTTTACAGTTTTTGGAATTTCTTTGATGAACCATATGGATGGATATTTTATGTCAGAGAAAAACCTTGGGATTCTACAGTTTTTTGAATTTCTTTGATTTATTGCTTCTGCTTGAGTCACAAAACTCAATTGATGGTTTTAAGATTTATTGCTATGAATTTCTGAAGTTTCTTCATATTTCAAATTAATCAAGCGAATGTTGTTCCTTTCACTTACATTTAAACTTTTGAAAAATCAGCCTGCAATTTAAAACAATGGCCGGCATGAAGAAGCGATTTTACAATGTGAATGTATTTATTAATGAAAGTATAATTTTCTTCCAGTCTAGCCCATGACATTTTTTTGCCCTGTACCTGCCTGACTAAACTACTGAATTGTTCAATTATTGCGTGCTTATAAAACAAATGATTGTGCATTTACTGCTCCTTTCGCCTTTGATCTCGTCATCAAATTTTTTTCTGGTGAAAATGATTCTCAAACTACCGGTGATTTAATTGCATCATTTATTCATTTTACTGAAAAAATAACCATGCGAATTACGTCAACGTAGCTTCGCCATTAGTGAGGAAGAGAATAATTTTTTTTTTAATTGTCGTCACTCCTATACATTTTATAAACAAATTTCTGTTCGAGAATGAAGATTTTACCTGGTTAACTATTCCGTCCTGACTAATTGTGGGTATCGAAAGACATCATAACTTATCGTTCATTTTATTAAAAGATTATCAATCATTCACACAAGTGCTATATGTTGTTCATTGAAGGAGGCATTATACTGTAGGTATAGTCTGCGCTCATATGGAAGTAAATTCGAGGATTACTTAACTTCCTTGTGCTGGCAAGCCACGAGTCATCGTAGCATATAAATAAGTTCCTAGGTAATATAACTACGATTTCTCACACTAGATACCATTTTGGGATTCAAACCTATTTAGACACACGTAGACAGTAAAATCGTGAAGAAGGGATCTGATTCATCCAACGGTGAAAGCTGTTGAACTATTAGCAAGTTGAGTGGATCTTTCAGGAAAATGAATGATGTGTATTGTCCAAATATAGACGCAATTTATTGCCTGCAGCTAATTGTATTGATATGCCTTTTTGCCGGGTCACTCTGGCTCAGGCTGACCTACACAGGGGTAAAAAAGTGCATCGATATTTCGACAAAGTCTCGCTCATTTCTTTCTCTGAATGATGGAATGAAAGCGCTACGGTCACACGAAATGAATTCGAAAACAAACATTTCCCGTTGATTGAGTTCACGAGAATCATGATGAAAATTTCTGACTATTGCTACTGTTTCTACGCGTAGACCCCGAGACGTGTAGCAGGTGTAGGTGGACATTACTGGAGGAGAACAGTAAAATCGTGAAGAAGGGATCTGATGCGACCAACGGTAAAAGCTGTTGAACTATTAGCAAGTTGAGAGGATCTTTCAGAAAAATGAACGAGTTATATTGTCCAAATATAGACGCAATTTATTGCCTGCAACTAATTGTACTGATATGCCTTATTGCAGGGTCACTAACTCTGGGTGACCTACAAAGGGGTAAAAAAAACGCGTCGATATTTGGGCAAAGTCTCGCTCGTTTCTCTGAATGATGGAATGAAAGCGCTACGGCCACACGCAATGAAGTCGAAAACAAGCATTTTCCGTTGATTAAGTTCGCGAGAATCATGATGAAAATTTCTGACTAATTGCTACTGTTTCTACGCGTAGACCCCGTGCAGACCCCGAGACGTGTAGCAGGTGTAGGTGGACATTACTGGAGGAGTTGTTATCGTTACGATATTCGGGAGCTCGATGATGAGAAGTTGAGCTGCCAGATGGTTCTTTTCCGAGGTTATTTTCCTGCACGAAAAAGTTGAAGTTATAAAATACTGAATGGAGTAAAAAAATTATGGTTAGATATTAAAAGAACTTCGGTAATGTAAACCTGCTGTACGAGAGTGAACAACTGTACACTGATAGAAATTCCGAAACTCCGGTCGACATGTACTCGATGCAAAATTTCTACTTGAATTTTTAAGGCGCGCCTATTGAGACTAGTTTATCTTTCAAATTTCTCACTTAGCTTAATGGTTACAATCACACAATTTATTTACGAAAAAAGAACAGATAAAATATGATGCATTTATGCTCACCGCCGCTGTGGTGGCTTCATGTGAGAAATAGCAAGGTTTGAATGATGTCCACGAAAATAAACAAATGCATGTACTAAAAGTGTTTACTTCTTTAGGCCATTAAAGAATCAACTCACATTATCGCTATAATTAATACTCATCGTGAGAATACAAAATGTAAAATTCCTAATTTGAGTTTTTACTAGCGCGTTTACCAGTAATTCAAAATAATGTATATTTATAACGTAATCAGGCTAATTATTAACAATCTATCAATCTACATGCTTTGATTTTAAGATTTTCCACTACAAATCAGTTCAATTCAAACGCTCAGCTGTGTTTTGAAACTCAGCTCAGCTTCATAATTGTGTGTTTATAAATTGGTAGCTTAAGTGCGGAACATTATTGAAACTCGAAAAATTTTTTTAAATATTTCTCATAGTTTTGTGCATTGTATATTGTAGATACAATATTTCTCATAGTTTCTACAAAACAATATTTCTCAAAGTTTATGGTGTAGTTGCATTTGAAAATTTGAACATATGTTGATCTTAATTAATTCCGTTATTGAATTTGCAATAATGAATCTTTCCTGATTGCAGAAAAGCCATATTCTCCTTTGCGATTGCTATTATTTTGCTAAAGTCAATTATAAAACAGGCGATTGTTTACACAAGTGGCTTTGCGACTGTTATTTTGTCAGGGTTTAATTATAGAACGAACGATTATTTATAAAACTTTTCGGGTTCCTTGGGAGCAACAGCCAATAAACGCTCGTATTATATAGAGGGGTCGCTTCACGAGCTGGTATTATATAGAGGGATTGCTTCACGAGCTGGTATTATATAGAGGGATCGCTTCACGAGCTGGTATTTTATAGAGGGATCGCTTCACGAGCTGATATTATATAGAGGGATCGCTTCACGAGCTGGTATTATACAGAGATATCGCTTCACGAGCTGGTATTTTATAGAGGGATCGCTTCACAAGCTGGTATTATATAGAGGGATCGCTTCACGAGCTGGTATTATATAGAGGGATCGCTTCACGAGCTGATATTATATAGAGGGATCGCTTCACGAGCTGGTATTATATAGAGATATCGCTTCACGAGCTGGTATTATATAGAGGGTTTGCTTCACGAGTTGGTATTATATAGAGATATCGCTTCACGAGTTGGTATTATATAGAGGGTTTGCTTCACGAGTTGGTATTATATAGAGATATCGCTTCACGAGCTGGTATTATACAGAGGGATCGCTTCACGCGTGCGCTAGAGTGCCACCACAGCTTGGCACTCTGACAACTTCAGCGCCTCTGCCAACCGCGGTTCCGTAGAATTCTTCAACTTCTCAGAATTGTTCGCTGTTTATTTGAGTGCTGTTCTCAGCTCGCGGTTATTAAACTTGGGTAGGTTTGTCTTACAGTTCAATACTCTGTCAGTTGCAGTTTCGAGAATTTAAATTAGTGCTGTAATAAATTTGTTATTTCTGAGTTTATTTTGCATCTGACTATTTTAGAAGTTTTATTCAAATACTCTGTTCAGTCCACCTTTGCCCGTTTTTCAATACCTCAACCTTCTCCAAATGAGGATAAATTTGTCCCGGTTATATTCCAACACGGCAGATATTGTGGATCCCCGCTCCAATGACCCCTGCATGTAAATCTGCGATTAATGTCTTCAAAACACAAAAAAAAAATCAAGAACTGTGCAATAAGAAACCATTAGTATCATGAAGTGCTTTCTTTGATTATTTTTCGCTTTTTTGGGCCTTTTTAAATGAAATACGAGTATTGTGAACGGATTTATTGTGACGTCCTCGTTTCAATTATAGATGAATCGAAGCATTAATTGTTAAACTAAACTTGAAATAAGTGGTTGTCTTAAAAAGGATTTCAAGGACACCTGAGCAATGTAGAGGCTTATTATGCATGAGGGAATTTTATTAATTTTCGGGCAGTTCAGTTCACAAAAAAAATTCTTTATCTCGTGCAGTCTTCTATGAATTTGAAATTGGCAGAGTTTGCTCGAAAAATTAAATCACATTTCACCTATAAATTGAGAGGTAATTGAGAACGATGCTAAGTTGCTGACCGTATGAAATTCTTCTAGCGTAAAGATCAGGAGAAGGCAAAACCAATAAATGTACAATTGAAGTTCGGGTGGAGGTTTATTGAAAAATAATTACGATGAGAATTGTGTGAAAGAGCTACAGCCTGGATAAGAACTATATTGAAAACCTGTAATTAAAGTCAGTTGACGGCAATAGAGTACAGTTCGGTGCCACAATAAAAATCTGAATTCTATTGAACAAATAACTGTTTTCCCACAGCTAAAGACTGTCAAACTCACAAAGGTTTTCACACAGCTGTAGACTGTGAAGTTAATAAATATTTCAATACAGTTAAAAGCCTTTGAATTAATAATTGTTTTCACACAGCTTAATTAAGACTCAAATTAATGAATATTATTAGACAGCTAAAGATTCTTAAATTAAATTTCAATCGGCAACAAACAACTGTATAAATTAAGCAGAAAGTGGTAAGTCCACACTGACACCATCAATGTAGACTTGCAGTGACGGAATGTCAGTGACAACAGTTACAGTCATTTAATCCATTGCAGCTCTTCATTATTGATTATCTTGATTCTTCATTCTCACTTCTCCCATTATCGTTGCTACAAAGAAAAAATATCACCGATTCTGAATGTATGGACCTGGCTATACATGAACGACGTGAAACTACGTACATAAGCGACGTAAAACTACGTACATAAGCGACGTAAAACTACGTACATGAACGACGTGAAACTACGTACATAAGCGACGTAAAGCTCGTAAAACTGCGTACATAAGCGACGTAAAACTGCGTACATAAGCGACGTAAAACTGCGTACATAAGCGACGTAAAACGACGTAAAGCTATCGAAATAGAAAGTTGGGCGAGGATGTTGAACCAGACCAACCGGTCGGGCAGGAGGCAAGGGAAACCATTGGGGTAACTGAAGGAGAAACCATTGGGGTAAATGATGGAGAAACGGTACGAGAAACTATTGGGGAAAATGTAGGAGATATTATTGGGAAAACTGTAACGATAAACTATTACATACATACATACATACATACATACATACATACATACATACATGCATGCATACATACATACATACATACATGCATACATACATACATACATACATACATACATACATACATACATAGGGAATTACATAGGGAAAATTACAGAGAAAAATCGTGATAGCTCATTGCTCCCAAGCAGGGAAAAGCCCTGCCGCGTGTACGCACAGACGAGGAGCAAACCGTACCAACAATCTTACATTTATTGTTTAATGAATCAATTGCATACGAACCGGGTATTATTGTGACTGATAATAACTAGTATGGAAAAAGTATAAATAAGACTGATTATAAAAGTTGAACTATTTATTTCACTATTATACTAATTATTATTTTATTATTATTATCATTATTATTTTGTTATTATTACTTAATATTAAACTTGATATTAGTATTGTTATTACTATTATTACTAATTTAGTAATTATTTTATTAAAAATAAATTTATTCAGTAATTTCTCCTGTAATGGTGTCAGCAAATCTATTCAATAACGTGTTTTGATACTGCCAAGCTTAGCCGAATATAAGCCAGTTCCATAACTGAATATTGTCATGGGCAAGACTACTCAAAATAACAATGTTAAATGCCGGTCAAAAATCTGGAGGCGGTATTTAATGCAATGTTTTCTTTCTCTTATTATTTCATGCATTATATATTAAATGTAATCATGACGCAGCTCAGGATTATATACAGTTTCGCTACTTCATTTTTATGACTAGAATGCTAAGCTCTCTTGGTTTGGTCGAGCAGCTCACCCCACGTTATCGATGCTGCTGTGGTAACAGTGATACGTGCATTGCATTTGTTCTTAAAAATTAATTGCGAGTTTCCAATGGAGTTGATTGAATGTGACTCTCATGCTTGAAGTTTTCTTTTCGAGTTAAATTTATGAATAAATGATAAAAATAGTATACTTCGAATGGTCCTATATAAACTACAGCAATACCACTTGATATTTTCGTGTCGGTAGCAGAGTCATGTTCGTCAATTATGTACGAACATATAGACAGTGAATGTATTCATCATCTATAAAAATTAGTATGAGGATGAAGGCCGCAAAACAAGTCTCATCTTTTCGGTCAATTTTTGTTACTTGTGATTTTAACCTGACTTTTTCATCCGCCATGATTCTGAAATTATTGTGAAAAATAGCATTGTGCTGAAATTTCTTTTCTTTTACGTGATACCAAGCGTTACCTGCAATCCCACGCTACCCACAACCTGACAATACCTGACATGGTTGCATGGTATTGTAACTGGCATGGTTGCATGGTATTGTACCTGACATGGTTGCATGGTATTGTACCTGACATGCAATGAGAGAGTAATGATTAAAAAGTCTACCGTGAAAAAAATCTGGGAGTTTCTGTCGAAAAGGAGCTGAAATTTTCTAGGCCTATTGAAACGCAGGTTAATAAATCCATTAAATTTCTTGGACTGATCAGAGACTCTAACGGAACGTTACTACACTATTCGAAAAAACTGTAAAAAAAAACGGTCTCACTGGCGTTCTAGTGCCAGGTCGCCTCGTGAAAGTAAACCGTTTATACGTTTTTTTTAGATGTTGTACGGATTTCTAGTGTTAAATTTGAATAAAAACGGTCATACAGTGTTTATTTTCACGTATCGGCCGGCCACTAGAACGCCGGTGAGACCGTTTAACGGTGATTTTTCTTACAGTGTACGACCACGGTAAAGCATAGGTGCTCGTAGGTAACGAGTACCTAGACGAGTATGTACCCTAATTTATTACGTGAGCTTATGCTTCGAAAAAACTAAAAGATAATTACTAGAGTTTGTCAATAAACAAATGTTCATTGAAGCACGCTGTTTAAATGCTTATTTACATTTGATCGATAAAATATCTGCCAATTTATTCGCTGCAGCGACTTTCTCGTGAAAAAATGTATGCATATTTCATCACACCCGAATAATAGAAAAATGCTCCCACACCCACAAAAATCAAAATTAAAAAAAAAAACGTATGCGACGTTTTATAGATCTGGTCTTTACGCATTGAATGATATGTGTCTCGATGTTGTAGCTTGAAAACCCTAGGAGGATATAGAATTCTAAAGTACCCCCTATTTGGTCCGTTTCTTGTAATTTCACGTTTTCTTTCATTTTTCCCAAAAATTCACAAGTACAAAAAATTGTCTCTTTTGGTTTTACACGTGTGTACCAAGTTTCAAACTGATCCATCTGTAAATAGCTGAGATAAAATTTTGCCCAGACGTGAGACGCTCCCCTTAATTCACGTATATATATTCTATGAGTAGAAAATATATCCGATTATAAATAAAAAATAACTACAATTATTATAGTAATAATAAGAATAATAGTATGGTAATAATATGGGATTAACGGGTTAAGTTATGCTGTCATATCGATGACTTTCAATTGATTTGTTAATGGAATTCAGGATGAATTTGTATCTTGGATCTTGGTTGACGTGCACACTTGATTTCATTTCAAAAGTCATAACAAATTTTCGTTTTATAAATTAATCGCGTGGGAAGGCAAGTTGGAACCCAAACCCATGCAATCCAACACACGAACATTTATTGCTACACTGAGAATGTTTACAAACATTTGTATAATGATCCAAGTACATGGAGCTAATATTAAATTGAGGGATGTAATTTAAATTTATATTAAATAAATGTGTTTAATATTGAATGATTGCACAGTTAGTCCCTAACTACCTCGGGTGTTGGGGAAGATTCGTTTTAAAATAAAAACAAAACAACACCGACGGAAAGAACCCTCCTGGGGATACCTGACATGGTTGCATGGTATTGTAACTGACATGGTTGCATGGTATTGTACCTGACATGGTTGCATGGTATTGTAACTGACATGGTTGCATGGGATTGTACCTGACATGGTTGCATGGTATTGTAACTGACATGGTTGCATGGGATTGTACCTGACATGGATGCAAGAGAGTAATGATTAAAAAGTCGACCGTGAAAAAATTTTGGGAGTTTATGTCGACAATGAGCTGAAATTTTCTAGGCCTATTGAAACGCAGGTTAGTAAATCGATTAAACTTCTTGGACTGATCAGACGCTCTAACGTAACTTTACTACGACCCTAGTAACGTATAGGTGCTCGTAAGGAACGAGTACCTAGATGAGTACCCTAATTTATTACGTGAGCTTATGCTTCGAAAAAACTAAAAGATAATTACTAGAATTTGTCAATAAACAAATGTTCATATAAGCACAAATAGGTATTTTGGTGAAGCATTTGAGTTTCAGAACGTGAGATGTAGTAAGCATGAAGGCATCGCAAAAAATAATATCAGTTCGGACATCATCTAGATAGCTATTGAAATGCATATTTACATTTGATCGATAAAATATCTGCCAATTTATTCGCTGCAGCGACTTTCTCGTGAAAAAATGTATGCATATTTCATCACACCCGAATAATGCACCCATAGACCAGATTCGTTTGAAGGCGAGTGCACCTCAATCATAATTTATTGCGTAGCTCGCTTCTGCACTCAAGTTGCATTACCGGTTCTACATTCCTTGATTAGCAACCCGATTTTACAAGTTATTTCATACGTACGCATGATTCAATCTAATAAAATGCTCACTACATGCATGAAGAATGAATGTAATTTTCATTATAGGATAGTGAAAATGAACAGAGCACTTAAAAAATTCCTCTAAATTGCCACACAAATTCAAGATCACTCTAAACAAGCAAATATTGGTCAATGGTTCGTAGCGGCCGTCACGCGCAGCATCAGCGAACCCTGGCCTTTGGTTTAGTGAAGGATCTCGAGTTCCGTACGTCTCGTGTTGCGCGGCTAGGCTCTGCTAGCGTTTGCTGGTCACGCGAACGTTGATATGGTTCAACTACTTATAGAATAGAATAGAATATAATAGAATAGAAAATAGAATAGAATAGAAGTGTTGGCGTTGAAGAAATAGGCCCATTGCCTGTTGCCTATTCTTGAATTTTTCGTGACTTGATTCACAAGGGATCCGGCCTTTGGAACCCGATGGGCAAAGTCATCGTACTTTACGAGGATACGACCAATTTTGCATCAAGTCATTGTGATTGATGAGGATAATACCACTTTTGGTCAAGGTAATTGTACTTGACGAGGATGACATCGCTGATACGAAAAATCATTGTATCAGAATCAAATGACTTCATCGTAAATTAAGTACAATTGACAACAATCACGCAGTTTTGGCTAAATAAATCTGACGGCACAACAATCATAGGAATTAAAAGTATATAATTTTGCCTGACAACGATCATAATTGTTTAGTCTGGTGTCGCTTAAATTAATGGCGATTACAAGATTCTATGTAGTCATCGGCTCAATAATGGGAAAATAAATTGTACATTTCATTCGTGTTGTATCAGGTTCAAATGTAAAGATAGCAAGCCCACAAAATTGTAAGTCAGACAACTAACCGCGACAGGATGCATTCAACGAGGTTGCCGATACACGAGGCTTGGACACGAGCGATAAATTTCCGCGTCTAGAATCATGACCAACGAACTGATAAAATTTTGATGCAATTTTAAATTTACGTTACAGAAAGAACAGATGCTCTCTATAAAGAGTGCGCTACCTATTCTGCACTCAGAAAAATTTATGGTTCATTTTGTCCTAATAGTGTTACACTTTCAATACCGCCGCACGAGCCGAGAGCGGACATAACACTGACGAGAGCGGACATAACACAACATCCTTTTGCACCGCCCCCCCGGCTAAACTGAGTCAGGATGACACACACAAAAACAAAAGGTGCATCATTATTTGATCAAAGTCTCACACATTTACCCGATAGCTAATAAGCAGTACAAAATATTCTATTAAATCAATTTTCACTGACCGTTCGACTGACCGGCTGATGCGGGCGGCGGTGCACAGGTCAGGCCATGTCAGTGTCGGGACGCGGGCCGCTCCACGAATATTGGGCAGCAGAAGAGGGCGAACACCGACGCCAGCGCCAGCACTGCCATGCCCAGGAACTGTGACGCATAACAGCAGTTATGGCGGAGAGTGTTATAGAAAAACGTTTATTAAAGTTATCTTAAAGCTTTGATTGGTTGAGATAAGTTATCAACATCATCAGTTATGAAGGAGAATGTTATAAAAAAAGTTTATTTAAAGTTATCTTAAAGCTTTGATTCGTTGAGATAAGTTATGAACATCATCAGTTATGGAGGAGAATGTTATAGAAACAACATTTATATAAAGTTATCCTAAATATTTGTATGGTTGAGATAAGTTACGAGCTAAAAAGGAATAAGTTGGATCACACAATAATATTAATCGTTGGAGTAGTTAGTAAATCGAGGAATAAAAGTATTAATTATAGAAGTTAATTAATGCCACAATCGAAATACTTACAGTTAAATACAATTTTAAAATGCTAGAATTATCTTTCTATGAACTCGAATGTGCAGATGAGTAAAGTTCAGTATATGTTGGACTGCCGTCTCTCGCATAGCTATAACCACACGACAGTATACCCACCTGGACTAGCGAAGGAAAATTCAATATATATTGGGTTCGAAAACCTCCTATAGCTATAACCACTCGCTTGCAAATCCATCCACCTGAATTCGCTAATTAACTACAGTTTATATGGAATTTTAGTCTCATGTACAGCCAAGCACGGGCTGATAAACCTACTAGACTGTATAAACCTACTATAGACGTAAACTACAGTTTATATTGAATTAAACTCACTCGTGTAGTTAACCACGGGCTAAACAACCCAACAGAACTTCCTACCTAAACTGACCCTTATATTGGATTCAACTCCCACGTATATAAGCTGCAGTTTATATGCATATAGAGCGGGAGGAGTGAATGCGATACATGAATGCCAGCTGACCGCTGATCTATACTTGCCTCTTCGTTGAGTGAGTGAGTGACCTTCTGTGGGTGTAAACGCAGCCCATCTTCCCCATCCACCTTCATGGTGGAGGTGTAAATAGACGTGGAAAAGAGGATGTGTTAGGATAACACGTTCTATAACACATAGCACACGGATGTGTTAGGATAACAGGTTCAAACACACACGGATGTGCTGGGATAACTCGACCTAACACAAAGCACACGGATGTGTTAGGATAACAAGTCCTAACACAGAGCACACGGATGTGTTAGTACAACACGAACTAACACAGAGCACACGGGAGTTTCAGGAAAACACGTTCCAACACATGGCACACGGATGTGTTAGGATAACACGTTCTAATACACGGATGTGTTAGGATAACACGTTCTAACACACGGATGTGTTAGGACAATACGTTCTAACACACGTATGTGTTAGGATAACACGCCCTAACACAGAACACACAGATGTGTCAGGCCAACACGTCCTAACACACAGCACACGGCAGTTTCAGGATAACACGTCCTAAAACATAGCACATTGATGTGTTAGGATCATTAACATTACTGAGGTATGAATGCATGTTTCATATTCATGATTGAAAATAATGAAAGAAGAATTGCGTTGAAGAGGCTTCCCCAAGATATTATCCAAGAGCAGGTGATTTAAGGTTAAAAAAAGGAAATATTAGTATCGTTCGTGACCGTTGAATTTTTGTATTCAGGATAATATCATAAATATTATATTGATTCAAGTTATTGGATTTATTGATGCTTTACCGATTGAAAAACATTGGAAGATTTATACCGATTTCCAAGTTCACGGTCGAAGAACGATTACTTCGGTTTTCAATTTGTCTTCGAAAGATTGAGGTTAGAGCGAATTTCTACGAAAATTGAACATGCTTATATTTAAAAATTCTGCCTAGATGTACGTATGCAGCAAGATGACGAGAGAATATTTTACTTATATGACCTTGACCAATAATCAATAATGAGACATCAAACAATAATAAGACCTTGACCATGATAAATGCAACGAGTCTAGAGATTGTATATTTGGTTTCATGAGTTGCGAATAATTAGGTTTATAAAATCAATCCATGATTAAGGTCTTCATTATTAACAAATATACATGAAACTATAATCAGTGATAGTTACATTCATCTGCTCTGCTGTTTACACATTCAATTTCCGTAAAAAAATTAAACCCGTGCTTTCGTAAGCCTCAATGTATGTGAAAAACTGAAGAACCCATCACTACAATGATACCCATCACTACAATGATACCCATCACTACAATGATACCCATCACTATAATGATACCCATCACTATTAAGATATACCCATCCTGAAATGATGCCCTCATCACACTGGGTCATGAGGGTGATGCAAAAACAAATTATTGATACTTCATCATTATATCGATATACTAATGATGTTTTAATGTTATGAGATATAAATGTAATGAGGATATTTAAATGTTATGAGATAACAATTAAATGAGTGCATTTACATGTAATAAGAATATTTCAATACATTGCGATGTATTCCGAACTATTTATTCTTGCTCTTCTCAAACTTTGTAACAAGAATGAAAAAATCTCATCTAGTTTTTTAAACTGTGATTCAGAAATAACATGTTTTACAATATACAAGTGGTTAAATTTTAACCTCCGTCACTAATTTGGCTTCCGTGAATTGTCATAGTTTTGCATGGATTGTTTTTGCATTATGACAGCCAATGATAATCTCATAGCCTTTACTTGATCATGAAGCAAGTGATGCAGGAGATGATATTAGGAATGAGAATGCGAAACAAAAGTGATTTAATTTACAATGACCACCAATCATACAACTAAGAATTTTTTTTCGCTCATTAAGCGTTTATTTATTGAAATAAATGCATAAATGAAAAAATGTTAAATTAGGTTAAATTATGTTGATTTAAATGGTTCAGAAAAGTGAGTAAGAACGAACGATAAGACATTGCAAAAATCTTAGCTCGTCTTTGCTGAAGCCTGAGATTTGAACATATGAATAAAATAAATGAGAACATATACTCCTGTTTCGTATTGAACTTGAAAATAACTTGAGCATTTGACTGATAATGGAAAAACTATTCGTTACAATCAACCTTCATAACCGATAAAACAAAATTTGTAGGGGCCACTGTTATTGAGCAACGCTGGAAACTAATCGGCAAGGAAGATTTCACGTTAAACCCTTCTTATACGGATTCATCTACTGCTGTCAATGCTTTTCGTACCAAAAGGCCTGGTAACGAGGGTTACCGTCACCAGACAAACTTTAAACTTTTTTTCGGATACATCAACCGTCGTCAATACTATTCGTACCCGAAGGCGTACTAACGAGATTTACTCTCACTTCGAACAAAGATTTATCTCTTTGTCTGCAAAAACTGTTCTTGTCGTCAATGCTATTCGTATTTTAAGACATGGTAACAAGAGCTATCGCCAGTCTGTAAAAATTTAACCCTTTTTACACGGTCGTCAATGCACTGTTAGAAAAAACGGTGAAAAAACGGTCCCACTGGCGTTCTAGTGGCCGGTCGCCCCGTGAAAATAAACTGTATCGCCGTTTTTATCAGATGTTTTACGGATTTCTCGTGTTAAATTAGAATAAAAACGGCGACTCGGTGTTTCTTTTCACGTGCCGACCGGCCACTGAAACGCCGGTAATACCGTTAACGGTAATTTTTCTAACAGTGTGCTATTCGTACCTAAAGGCTGGACAAAAGCCAGCAAAGTAAAGATTAAGTTATGAATAGCGCCATTTCTAAGACAACGTACCTCTTTGGAGGCAACTCTTGGTAGCACTGCGGTGGACCTCGTGGATCGCACCTGCAATGTCAATGATAATTGTATCCCCGTCGTTTTAAATTAATACAAATAACGTCGTAATAACAGAACAAATTCAAATAATATATTTTGTGCAATTTTGAAAAATTCGTGATTCAAAGTTATTAAGATCACAGATGTAGTTTAGGGTAAAATTTTTGTCGCAGCTTTGTCATTAATTAAAGTGAGACAATTAAACTGAGATGTTATCGTATAAATGAAATTTCATTTGAATGAGTATAAGTTTGAAGAGGATTCATGGTGAAGATTTTACCGAAATGTATAACTAAAAATAACTTTGTTTTCATATATCTAAATCCCGGATATAGTATTAAGAATTAACCATAAATTTATATTCTAGTCTTATGTAGTTTCTGGTTGTTATAAGATGATTGTTTGGCATAGATATAAGCGAAAACGTATAGGCATGCAACAAATACGATGTAAAACATATTGTTTTAATTTATTCATGCTTTCGTAAAAGTTGAAAAAGATTACATAAGAATGAATGACATTGATACACAACAAATTCCACCTTACCCGCGGCAGAGTTTCATCTGTCAGTTATCTACGAAAAAAAATCTATTTTAGCATTCAACAGGCACGCTATCTGCAACAGCAGGAGTTTCTATTTGGACGATCTCTGAATTTTAAGTTTCATTTGGCAGGCTTCGAGGCAGATGTTAATTAATTAACGTTATGATGAGGGCTATTGCGATCATTAAATACAAAGGAAGCCTTCAACAGAACATGTTTTTCTTTGTTAAGGTTATTAAATGTTCTATAAATAGTCGGTAGAAATAGATGACATCGCTGCAGTCAATTAGAACATATGCTAGAGTTCCCGATAGCTATCAAATTGCAATTCACTACGAAACAGAATGATTTTAATATTACTTCTCATACAGCCGAAGAATTCATGGATGAATCCTAAATTGCATTCCCTCATTCATCAATAATTATGGAGGGAAAGGAGATTCATCGGTAATCAAATACCCATAAATGGAGCGTACTGCACATTTACACGTTTCCACAGTATACAGTTAGCACTAACAATTTAATGCACGTAATCAAGAAGATTTTTCACTGTCAGTCCAAGGCACAAACTTCGCAACCATTACCTCTATAACGGAGGGCATTTTCTCTGAGAAAAGAACTGTGATGGGGAGAGAAGGACGGCACAACCGCACGCTCAGCAGCTCAGCCCGACACTGGCGATGCTTGTGCCGGCAATAGCAATGGACTGCCAAAAAGTTCATGCCGAGCTTAGAGATTTGGCGGTTGTCTGCCGCGGCCGCGCTCATATTCATTTCTATAAAATTAGTCCAAACTTGAGAGCCTGAATTAATTAAAATTATGTATTAGGATTTTCATTGTATATAATGAAGGAAAATTAATTCAGTTAAAATTTAGCTCAACTAGATGGATGAACTTGAGAGCCTGAATTAATTAAAATTATATATTAAGATTCTTCATTGTATATAATGCGAGAAAAATTAGTTTAGTTACAATTTAGCTCAACCAGATGAAGCTTGACTATATAAAAAAGGTTTGAACCAAGTTGCACCAATAGGTAGAGTTAGGGCATGAAAAGCACCATTGCTCACTATAATGGCCCGCCATCATTGAAATTTTACAATTTCTTACTCCAAATCCAGTGATCACGAATTTTGCCGTTGCAAATACCGTAAATTAAAAAAATCCTCAGGTATCAGTTTTAGTATGCACCACTATTCTCCCACTAGCGATAGAATTTTAGGTCCTGGTAACATACAGATTAGAGTACTTTCGTGGATACGCGCGTGGATTTGAACATAGTTAGTTAAATGTAAATATTTACTTAATAATGGCTTTGCAAGGTTCTTCCCCACGTCAGATTTTTAACAGACCTTTACAGGATGGTTAATGGAACTGGGTGGAAGAAAATAATATATTAAATCACGGAATAGAGATATGTCAAATAAATAAATAGTGAGCAAGATAGTTTTTGAGGAACTAGATTTTCAGGGGGGTAGAGCGTGACGTCGTCGTCTACAAAGAATAACCAAAAACTGCAATTTACGTTTCCACGATCGTTCCATGATGCCGGGACAAATTCCTGGTAATCTTTAATTACAACACTTCTCTTTAACTTCACTTCTTGTTTGTCTGTTTGT